TCAGAACTGGAAGGGTATTCAAAAGGCTCTCATCAGCCTCCTCTTCCTGCTTGTTTTGACTTCTTTTCTTTGCCTGACTTCTTCCTGTTGTCAGCATTCAAGTGAGAGGAAAAAGACAATGCTATTCACTGGTAGATGAAAGTGGGAGGAACCACTCCCAAAGGTGGGCTATGGCATTAATAAAGAGATTTCCCCAACTTCTTAGGAGTCCCTCTAGAACCTCAAGAGGAAGTGAGGTCAGGCCATACTCATTCCATTTTCCAGCATTTCAATGTACTTTCTACAAGGTGCCATTCTGAACAGAATACCATATTCTAGGTATGGTCAGATCCAGGTAGAGTGTACACTATTCCTTCTTTAATGCAACATCAAGCTTCCATGATAGACAATCAGAAAAGGACCAACAAAAATCCATTATGACCACAAGAAACAGTGCAGTTCAGTATCACCTTACATTGTTTTACTGAATTACCAGCTCCAAAATGTCTAACTCCTAAAATTATAAAGGCACTTCTCCTCTCATAATGTTTTCTCATCTGTCAAATGAAAGGGTTAGACTAAATGGGTTCTGAGCTAACTTCCAACCCATCCTATGATCAGGTTAACTTACTGAGTTCAAAATAAGAAGAAAAGACTGTCATACTGAGTCAAAGCCATAGTCCAGTGAGTTTAGTCTGTCTAGCAGCTAGCACCATAGAATGTTGAGATGGCACAGCTATTTTCTATTATTTAAGTCTTAAAATGTTAGTTTTAATCTCCAAACATCTTGGTTTCCCTTAATAACCCATTGTTGCTTATCTTTTCCATGCATTTGTTTAAATCTCCTTTGACCTACTTTTGTTTGTGGCTGATACAACCCTGTATGCAATGAATTACATAAGTTTCTTCTACTGTATAAAATACTAGTTCCTTTTAATTTTTTAAAAAGTTTACTTTTTTTTTTTCAAACTTGAAGAGATAGGCTACAGTCTTAGTTTCTTTCAGGGTTTGATGAACAAGATTGATTTTGTAAACTTTAATTTTGTCCCTTTTATAACTTTTGTCTTCCAATTCTAAACAGCCCTACCACTCATAATCTATTTTCAAATAAGAGGCAGTGAGATGTAATAGATAAAGAGCTGTCCTTGGAACCAAGGCAGCCTGGCCTAGCTAGTCCCACCTCTGACACATCTTGACTGTGTGAATTGGCAGTCCTGTGGGCAATTCTTTAGTGTAATAAGTTGTAGAGAAGATTCTGGTCTGCACTGGTAGAGGGTTTCCTCATCCTATTTGAATGAAATTACAAGTCTAATACCTATCCCAAAGGATAGCACCCATGCCCACTCCATCATTTTATTGGATCCTTACCTACCTGTGGAGTGGATCTTTACCAGCACTGATGTGCCTTCTTTAGACATATGGAAACCAGATGAACATAGCATTTTAGGGGCAGATTTAGATCTGGTTGTTTAGAAAAGCAGTAAAAGGGTTTTTTTTTAATTTTGCACTCAATACCCTGTTTCATAATGTACAATATTCTGTTGGACTTTTAAAACATAGCAGCACGTTAGACTTATGTTTTTAATAAATATGTGTTAAATTTAATTTCATGACCCAGTGTCTTCTGAGAGCAGTCTACAATGACTTTTATGCCCTTTTCCTTGGGTATGTACTAATAACTTGAAGGCCATTAGTAGAGTGCTGTGCAAGAATGATGACTAGCTGGTGCCTGGCACAAGACCATTTAAACAACAGCCTAGAACAAGCACCTAGAAAAGTGCTTTTAAATCAACTTTTAAAGACAAACTGAGTTAGAGAAATGGGATCTCAGGAAGAAACTCAGAGCCTAGGAAACCGGGCCCAGTGAAGGAAGAGATCCTGAGATCAGGATATAGGGATCATGATTATGTTACTGTGGAGGCCACCTCTGGAGGAGAGACCATGATAAGGACAGGGTGGTTAGTTCAATTGGTGTGGAGCCACTGGTGGAGGTAGCCTGCCATCTAGTAGCTTATTTTAATCAATGATTCTTGTTAACTAGGTGCTAAGCTTAGTTGTTTTTGTTTGTCAAAGCAGAAGCAGTATTCTCATTGTCCTTTAAATTTCATGCCAACGAGCAAAACCCAGTCACCTGACTCTAGTTATATAGTTACATGTCTTTGCATGTTAACAGGCACTCAATAATATTGGAATTGAATTATGTAAGTACACTTTGGATTACTTTCCTCAAGACATTCTTGCCCATGTTGAGAGCCATTGGCTATGTTACTGTAATTTACAGAGCCTCACTAGATTGTTCCATAGTTAATTGTTAAGTTGGCATTCTATAAAAGAGAACAGTGTTTTCTATACATTGGGAGATCTAGATCATATATAAAAATGTGAAATAAAACAGCACAGAAAAATAACCATATAATCCTATTTTGCATTTCCTATCTTTAGTTTTCTGTCCATAGCAAAATATTCTCATGGGTGGCACTGCAACTTATTTTAAAAATAGAATTTGTGTTCAGTTCACCAAAAGTTTTTTTAAACTCTAAACGATGTGATTAGACATTCATTCAGAGACACAGCATGGCATAGTAAAGGGGAGTGCTGGACTTGGACTCAGAAAATACTGGTTTCAAATTTGACCTCTGACACTTAACAGCTCTGTTACCATGGGCAAGTATTTTAACTTCACTGAACTTCAGTTAATTCATTTGTAAGGTGGTGATAATAATGCAGGCAGCATGTACCTTGCAGAGTCTTGGTGAAGCTTAAATGAGATAATGTACGTAAAATGCTGAACAGATTTTAAAGTGCTGTATAAATGTCAGTTACTGTTATTCTTGGTGAGATAGTAATTCATTATTATATTACTCCAAGAAAATATTTCCCTTTAATATGTCAACTCAATTAATAGAATTGATTTAACATAGCCAATAAAATTAAACCTGTCTACTACATGTTACATTAGAGTCAAATTAGTAGAATTTAGAATTTTTGAGTTTCTTGAGTGATAATGACCAATTGCTGTGTTTTCTCTTAGTGTTGCCAGTAACTGTCTCCTACACTCTTGGTGGTGTGACAGAATGTGTCTTTTATTGACTTTCACTGTTGGGCTCTTGTGTATGGTTATCGGGCAGTAACATTCGTGCTTTCTAGTGGCTGTTGGATTTTTTTTTAATCTCCTTTGGTTCTTTGTTGTTCTTTCTCCACATATATTTAAAGACAAAAAAAGTCTTCCCATTCCCCAAACTCTAGTTGGCATGAACAAAATTATGCAATGGGAATAGCCCTTTTGTTTCAGTATAACTTTTGTGCTAATATTATGTGTTGTTTAATTATGACTTGGCATCAGTATTCTCCATGAGAATCCTTTTCCAATTATATTATACAATAAAAGGAGCAAAAAGAACACAAGTCTGGGAACTAGGAGATCTAGGTTATAGTCAGGTCACCAGATAGCTATGTAAGCGTGTAAGAGTTAATTAACTTTTCTGGGCCTCATTTTCCTGTATCTGCAAAGTGATGGGTTTGGACTAGACAAACCCTAAAGTTTCTTCCATCTCTGAATAATTTATGGTTTTGTGATATAAATTTTCCCATTATGGAAAATTTATTAGATATGTCTCTGTTTTGGATATCGAGGTTGCCATGTTGATATTTAATCATATTACATGGTGTACCAGACCTGAAAATGGAAAGCAATTACTTGCTTAGGTGAGAACTGGTGTGCAGCAGATTTGTTTAAAAAACAGATTAAGTGAAATATTTTGATTACAGAGGTGAGAGATACATATATTAAGGAATGTTCAGTTTTGAAATAGAGGACCAGAGATGGCATATGATAATAAAGGGAATGGATATATATACATTACAACCTTTGATTTATGTTGGTGTGTGTTAAGGTAGATGATAAAGTGACCACGAGTAATTAATTGTTAACCCTTGAAGACAATGTTATATATGTCTTGTTTAGTTGAGTTACTTCACAGTAAGACACAATGAAACATGGAAGACTGTGCAGAACTAGACACCCTTGTTAGATATTGGCAGTATCACTTCCTTAAGAGGAAAGCAGAAAAGCGTCTATTAGCCCTGCAGCTTGCATATTTGGCAATATATCAGTGATCACACTGTGGAGTAACCAGAGGTATCTGCAGAGGACAGCTCTATACTTGCTTTTTCACAAAATGTATGTCGTCTTAGCAATGTATAATAAGAACAGAAATAAGCTGTGTACCTTCTCTGAAGGTATGTTCATGTGTATGAATGAATGTTTCAAAAAATGAATGAAATAAAAGTTTGACTTTACTGGGTTTATGCTTTAGATAGACTAGTAAAATTTTAAAGTGAAGTTTGCATCATTGCTGATCTGCAATCGTTTCTGATTTTACCATCTTAAAATCTTTCTCCTCAAATATGAACACCCGTATTTGGCATTTGATGCTCTTCACAATGTGATTCCAACCTTTCTTTCTGTCTTTACTGTATATCATTCCCTTTCATGTAATCTTCGGTCTAGACAGTCTGTCCTTACTGTTTCTTAAAAAAAGATCTATTTCCCATTGCAGTCCCCCATGCCTAGAATGTTCTACCTCTTCTCACTCCCCCCCGCCTTAGAATCCATCATTTCTCTCAAAATACCTTTCATGGAGAAGGCAATTAATAAATGCTTATTGACTGGTTGGTTAGTCGAATTATTTCTAAAATAAGAGTATGGATGTAGTAGTCAGTATTTTCATTAAAAACCCATGACACCAAACCCATATCATTGTCCCTTCCTAAGAGATGAACAGTAGTTGTTTCATTGTAGAATTACCTGTCTCATCTACTCTGCTATTCTCTCCATGTTTCCAGAACTCCTTAATTGTTGCAACTTACTTATTTTTAAATAATTGAACAAATATATTGACACAAATGGCCTTAGACACACATACCACATTTTCACCTGAGTAGTATAGTAGAAATTGACTTAATATCAGCTATGACTTTTTTTTTTTGGAAACAGAATTTTAAAAATTCAAATTACTTACGTCAACAATCAAGAAATCCAGCCAGCACCAGGCATTAGTGAAATATGTTTGAAAACCATAAGCCACCCATTTTAGAAGCATTTCCAAAATGAAGATATAGGTGAAGACCTTGTCAGCATATTCCAACATTGTCTTAATGGTCTTTCGTTGTTCAATGTAAATGTCTTCAAAAGCCTGTGGATCATAAGATTTTTTGGACTATTTATATTCTCTGAGTATTATGCAAGAGTGTTCAGTACACTGCTATCCCCAAAGTGGAGCTTGATAGACACTGGATAATGATGAAAACTAACCTTATAATTCAAAAGGACATAATAGATAAACCAGGGGAAAAAATGAACAGAGGGATTTCAGTCCCTCCACCAGTTGTTCTGAGTACATTTCCTTTTGTTTACTTAGTTCTAATATAGCTCTTATTATATTTCAAATTGTCCTTACAAAATGTGACTGAAGTAAAGAGAATTTAGCTTATAGTTTGATCAGGAACTTTATTAGGAATGGAGGTATTATAGATGATCTCTCAGGTCATTTCTAACACTATCATTCTATGATTATATGAATAGCTGGTTTTGGATTTTTTTCTGCGAAGATTAAATTGATTAGACATTTAAAAAACTGACCAGAATTTATGATACTGTAAGCATGATTATTTGGAGAAGATGGGATGATAGTTTTTGTTGAATGTAACATCCTACTGGGCTATCTCTTTTTTTAAAAATGAGAAAAAGTAGTCTGTCTAAACATCTGTTATATAAACACAAGATGAGAAATTCCATCTGGCCATCCAATTTGTTTGATTTGTTCTGTAGTAAATTCTCCATCATTTTGTTCCTTAAATGGCAAACTCTGCAGGGTATGGTAGAAATGCATCGTAGACACAGCATTTTAGCAGAAAAATAAATTTAATCAAAATCTATTTGTTCACAGTGACATGTGTTTCACTTACCAAGGCACCACTGCTGAGTAGGATCATGAAGACAATAAATGTCTCGAACCAGTTGTGTTCAACAATACTGTAGCAGGTTTTCCTAAGATTCCACCAGATTTTTCCTTTGCCTTCTTCTATACTTACTTGACAAAATGGGAACTTCTTGATGCAGCCTGAAAACATGTTATTTGAGTATGCCAAATTAGAAAGGGACAACTTCATGTTCTTACTAGTTTTTTTAAGGAGTTAATAGCACATCTATGTATGAGCATACCAGTTTATACACAGAAATGAATGTCAGAGGAGGGACTTGAACCCATGTCTTCAGCCAGGTCTCTTTACAGCAGCATACTGTGATAATGTAATTTGTGTACATAATATGTATATGTGCTATAATACTATATACAGAAGCAAACAGTCTGTGGGTACACAGTGTACTTACAAAGTTCAACTTTGCCCTGGTACAAAAATGTTACCTTTATGGCCAGTTTTGTCTTAGGCCCCAGGCCCTGAACTGTAAGCCCCTTTAGAACATGGACTGTCTTTTACATTTCTTTGTATCCCCAGCACTTATCACAGAGACTGGAAACTAGTAAGTGCTTAAAAATGCTTGATGTATAATGACTGATGAATAAAGGTGTTCTCTCTGGCTGAAACCTTGGTTCTACTTATATGTTCATGTCAAAGTTGCTCTTCCAAACTATTTGTTCTGTTTTTTTTTTCTGATATCTGTATGCAGAAATCTCTCTCTCTTGATTCTTCTTAGAAAGTGTACAGCCTATTATCAACTTCCCTAAGCATCTTGCTGTCCGGGTCAGCCTTTTGATTGATTACACCGATGAGTAATTACCACTGTCAGCTTCCTGTGTTCATGCATTGTCCTTTCTCCACAAATATTTATCTTATACATTCCTATGCCACTACCTACAATGCTATTTGTTTAATCAAATTAAGAAATATGTTTTAAACACCTACTAAGTGCACTGTGAAAAGTATTACTAGCAGCATGATTATTTTTGTTCCTGTCAGTTAGACTTCTGGCCCATTACAAATTATTTCTCAAGTCATTTGCAGGGAATAGTGGATGAAAAGATGGCCTTGAAGCCGGGAAGACCTGGGTTCAAATTCCGCCATTGACTCATACTGGCTATGTGAATCTAGACAAGTCACTTGATCTCTCAGTGCTCATAGGCAACTCTATTAAAATATAAGTTGTTGAGGAGCCAATATGCAGTACTTGAGAGAGTTTTCTCACCTGAGAGTTCCCTATACCAAGGAAATCACAGGTTCTGTCCCTATACATAAAATAAAATAGATGTTTACCCATATCAACAAAAATGAGTGCATAAAATACCCCTTACTTGCAGCAGGAAAAAAAAAAAGACTTGCTTTAGCACTTATAAAGCAAATTGCATTATTCAAGTCTTAAGAGTAGAACCAAATATATAATATGTATTATTTTCTGCTTATCACAAAGTTAAGGAAAATCAGTAAGGTGAAGGAAAAAAATGACAATGATCTTTCCTCTAGTTTTGAATTCCAGTGCTTTCCTATTAGATTCTATTCCACATTTTAGTTATTCTCTATTCATTGTTCATATGTTGCACATATCAGTTCATGTATTGATTTTACTCCACTACTATATATATATGTATATGTGTGTGTGTGTGTGTATATATATATATACATATATATGTGTGTGTGTGTATACATACACACACACATATATGTATGTATATGTAAAAACATCCATGAATCGTGTCTTCATTATTTTTGTATCCACCTTAAGGCCTAGGCCAGTGATGCACATACAAAGTACTTCATAAATGAATCAATTCTGAATAACTTAATGTTTTCCTTCGTGACCACTGCTAGAATTTTAGGGCATTCTTTCATACTATTCAAGTAGCATCTCTAGACAGACTTCTTGGAAAAGAACACATGAACCTTTCTAATTAAAAGACGCTTGCAGTGAAAGTGCCTTCTTCATCTCCTCTAAGTATTTCTTGTAAATATGGCTCTCTCTAGAACACTTAGCATCCTGAAGAAAATTTTAATTGATTGTATTAAACTAAACACCTCACCTTCAGTAAAACAGTCTTCTGGTTCAAGGTCTTCTTCTGGTTCAATTTCTGCTTGTTCACCTTCTCTGGGAGGGGCAACATCGACTGTGCTGCCTTCGGATGAACTGGATGCATTTAACTTCTGAAAACAGAACCCCATAAGCAAAGGTTTTTCTCTTTGCTTAGTGTATCTGGAACATTCTTGTCATATTATGAGACAAATTACAGTGGTAGTCTAAAGTCTTTAGTAGGACAATCAATAAATATATACTGCGAACTTTAAGATAACTAAGGTCCTAATAATGTGGCTACTGACCTGATCCATATGTGATATGAGAAACTAAAGATGATTTCTTTTACATGTGGGCAATATGAAAAAGAAGTACCAATTATTTTCAGAAACTTTACTTGTATTAGGTTTCATTGTGAATTTACATCAAAATGTTCTATTGGAAAGACTAAATCAAGTGCAGTCTGATAAAGATTGGGCATGCTACTGCCATTACTGATTGAATTTATTAAATATGTATCGTATCAAGCTGATTTCTACCTTTGAAATTGCAAATAGTTGGGGAAAAAGAATGTGACCAGTTGCTACTAAGCATTGTCCAGGTATCTACAATTTCAGAAACGAAGAGCAGCCTATTCATATTAGTCATCATTATATTTCATCTTTGAGCTATTTCTTTCACTGGCTTGCTTATTTTTCCTTTTACTTTAAGATGGCTCATGAATTTTGTTTTGAAAAGCTGAATAATTACCAAAGAATTTTGAATGAAATTGACATTTCATCACATGAGGAAGTTTCAAAAAATTACATTGAATCTAATCAGGAGAACAATTTGAGTTCAACATGTAACCAGATTAGGAACTTCAAGTTACTGTGATGTGCTATGTGGCTAGAAAAACCATATTTAATATTACAGGAGTTTATTAGGTGCTTTGAGATCACCCTCTTGAACATATTACAAAATGCAACATATTATATAAATTGATGCAAACACACAAAGCAGAATAGGTAGTTGGAAATGCAAAGCTTTTATCAATGAATATATATTGTCTGGAAATATTAATCATGCTAAATTCTCCCACAACTTCAGTAGGATTAAAAAGGCCCAAGAGGGTTAATATAGCTTACGAAAGTGCCCGAATTATTTCCCAGATGTAGCCTAAGTAATAGGAACACTGGGTGCCACATGCATAGCTCATTAGAATTATAATGCAAATGCACTTTCATACTTCAGAGTACATATACATTAAATGTAGCAGGCTGGTTGAAAGTAGAGCAATATAGGGAATCTTTAGCATAGTGCTGAAGTCAGGAAGACCTGGGGTCCAGGACTGCCTCTGACATATACTAACTGTGGGATCATGGGCAAACGAGTCACGTAACCTCTTAATGCTCTAGCCATCACTTCTATGACTTTAAGTTACGGATGATCATTGTTTGTGGAGGAAATAGCCACACAGAATTTCTGCCTACTAAGAAAAATCACAAATTTGGACCAAGTATGTAGGTTACTCTTTTTGCGGTACTTCTGGCTAGGTAACAGTAGCCATATCTACATAAATATATTCTGATTATTAACTTAGGGCAGAATATAATTATTATAAGACCTTGGTTTCCTTGGATCATATTATGAAATCCATATTAATTGAAGCACCATGAAATGGGAAGATGCAGCATCATTATTGCTGATGGGCATGGAAACGAGCTTCAGTAGATGGTTACAGTAAAGGAATTTCTACAGCGGTCTTGGTTCTGACCTACTAATCAATGTATTTTTGCCCAAGCTGGAGGGGAAAAGCCTCCCATTTTCCTAGAACTCTTTCACTATCAATTGTCAAGGGGATGATAAGCAGAAGTCTCCTATTTCTCTTTTTAAGAGATAAAGGAAAGTGCTTAATAGAAAGTACAGCAGCAATTATGTGCAACTGGGAAAACTGTTTTTGAGCATAGCTAATGATGTCTTCCTGCTCAGGCCTTGTCCGACCCTGTTTTGATGGCTGAGAATTAGAGCTGTTAACCTTTGGAATTTATAGAAAACCTTTCCTAGCCATCCCCACTTTCCTTTTAGGATCCCTGTGGCATTTATAGTGTATATTTTATATTTTTGCATTTGTTACTGTTATAAGTTAATGCTTTTTTATTTCATTCTATAGCTTTTAATTATCTAATGTGATTAAACTTTTAGAAGGTAAGAACCATATTTCCTACTTATTTTGCATCTCCTAGAGTGTTTACAACGGATCAGAGAACAGAGTAGACTACTAAGTACCTATTGACTGTAATGTTACATAATGGCTTTAGCTATCCTTTTCATATATGACTATCAAATTCCTAATATAAAACTTGCAAATCTGGATGTGCTGCTTATTTCCTGTGTGACCTTGGGCAAGTCACTTAATTTCTCTCAGTTCATCTATAAAATGAGAGAGCTTTCTGACGTCTAAGGTCCATTTATCCTTTGCTCTTTCATATATCACTTATTTCAATGACATTGCATAGTGATCATCTTTTTTACTCTACAGTTACCTGCCATATAATTCACTGATACATTAGCATTAAGTGCAAGCATTTGATTTTCTAGCACTCTGAAAAGGCATTAATTCAAAGTTCATAAAGGGATGGCATTCATTTTACTCAATTCTGTCTTTTTGTTTTCAAAGTGACACGCCTTGTTTTTTGTGAATGAAAGGGGGAAAAAACCCTCCATTCCTACCCCATTCCATGAGTCTCTGCCCCAAATGAGTACAAATCCATTTATAGTAAGGATTTGTGATTATCCTGTAGCCTATGAGATTTACAACTTCAACAGCTTCTTAAGCTCTGCAGAGCGGCTTAAGGAATGGAACAAGGCATAAAGCTGCTGCTGCTGCTGAATTACAGGATGAAAGTATTGATGAATCTAGAGCACCAAACCAAGACTGTATGTGGGGACTGACACTCCTGGATTATTCAGGGTAAAATAATATCCATTTCTGTTTCATGAATTTGTAATGGAGATCCCTTAAATGTTATAATCAGTAGCCTCTAACTTCTGAATTAGAAAGTGAGATGCACATGTATTTTTATATCGTTATCCAGAAATATGATAGTAATAGTAATTTTTTAATCCCTGTAGTCTCTAAAAATGCCTTCAAAAATACAGGGTGGGGTGGAATAATTACTCCTAATATAATAATTTTCTAAGCCATTGATTTATGTGATTTTCTTGTTTTAAAATTTTGCTTTTATTATGAAGATACATCAATTTTCTAGACTTTAGTAACTAGAGTATGCCACAAAGAGCTTCAAGTCACTGGAAATGTGGCTCATTCTCCTTCTTTTTTGAAAAATAGCTGTAAATTAAAGTCTAAAAGATCTTTAAAATAAGTTAAATTTGGTAGAATGATATTCGTTTAACTATGATCAAACTTTCACTCTCACAAAGGATAGTTCCTCTTTATGTGGCACATATTGTAATAATCCTATCAACATAGTTGCTCATCTAATTTAAAAGCAAAATACAGTACAGTGATTGATAAAACATGACAAATAACTCATTCCTGAATGAAGAAACTGAAATAAGCCCATGTACTGAGAAACTCAGATTCCTCTGATGAAATAACTTTACCAAGTAACTGAAATAAATATGATTTTTGAAGTACTTGAGAAAGAGAAACAGGTAATAAACATGATGTAATAGGAAAATCAAGTATAACATAACACAGTGCAAATTCAAACCTGTTTCCCTAGACTCTTTTTTTTTTTAAATCTTATGGCTGAATTTAGATTTTCATCCCTTGTAGACTTTAGTCTGGTCCTACAGAGAGATGATGACTTATACTCTACAGATACCCATTAGAAAGCATGTTGTTTTTATTTTTGATTTTTTTAGGATGCAACATTCTCAAGGCCTGATTCAGCCATGGAAAACATGCCCAGCTCGAGCAGAAGCCCATTGCAATGCTATGGAAGCTGCATACTGAACAAAGAACCATGTTCTCAACATCAAGATTCCAATACATGGAATAATCCAGAAAGTTAAATTTAAGTACTACCTGGAGGAATAGACTAATTCGAGATATACAATGACATAATTGGCACTAAAATGGGCCACAAATGCATCAAAAACAATCAGACTTCTTTTCAACTAATATATTGTCATATATAGGCATTCCCCTTTATGATGAAATATCTCTTGCTTTTTAACCAATTAAATGATGAAATTTAATAATACATAAGAGAGAGCAGTGGCCTTTTTCCACTGAAATGCCTCACAGTTCATTTATTTTCAATTAGCTACTAAATGTTTGAGTTTCGTGAACTATCTTATGGTTTAGGAGACAAAATTAAAAAAAAAAGATTCAGCCATTACAGATTGTCTTTAGATAAATAATGACATTGCTCTTCAACCTTATGTGCTTTGTCTTGCAAATAGGAAAAAAAAAACTTTTACACATACACTTCCAGTAGGGCCTTAGTCTGATCTTTTGGATTTGTTTATGCATATCTTGACTTTAAATATTGTCACATGCGGTACAGCCAGTGGTAGGTGGAGAGCTGCTTCCCTTCTGGCCTCAGGCAGTTAGACCAGAGATAAACAAATAGCTTTCTGCACCACCTGTGATCATTCTGACTCTATTAAATACAGGAAGAAAGCTACTGAAGCCAGGTCTCACCATCAGAGGTTTCAAATATGCCTTCCCCCAGTGAACTTCTTTGAACTGATGTTCAGGTTACAAAGCAATGGAGGTGATAGGCAAATAAAGCTTTCAAAGTTTTTTAGCTGGCTTTGCTGAGACCTGAAAACAGTGTGCACAGCACACTCCCTCAGCATTTTGAAGAGCAGGAGATATGAGCACAAAAAAAGCCAAGAGACGAAACATATGCTTGTGATATTCATCTTGTACACAGATACACACACTTTCATCCACACTAGCCTTTTTTAGGCACAATAAATTGAAGATACTTGACAGTTCCCTAGAGTGTTAGGTCATAAACATTTGTCATTCCAACTGTCATCTTTGCCCATGGATATGTTGTCTCCATATGAGTTTCTAGAGATGTTAACTAGAAGAAATTGGGGCCACATAAGGAGAGGGAGAAAATTGGAGCTGAATGTGATTTTCATAAATGACAAAACAAATGATTAGAAA